CCTTCAACATACTAATAATCTTGGCCTTTCATTAAAGTGAATTTAATATACACTCGTGAGCTTTTCACATTAGGAACCATGATTTTAGCGTGGAAGCTCTGACTTCAAATGGTTGTTTCAATCTTGTATCAAGCCATGATTTCGTTTTGCAGGCAAAGTACACAGTGAGTGATGAAGATGAGAGTTGAGGGGAGAGCAGTATTATCAAAGGCAAAAAGCGCAAAAAAGCTCTCAGGTCCGTGGGGGCTTGAAGTGTAAAGCGTAAATAAAATGTGGACTTTAATGAAAAATGGCGCAAAGGGAGAAAAAAATGCAAACATATATGTTTAGTCCAACACTAATAATTACAAACATGAATAACAAATATATGACCAAAGAAATCGAAAAAAAAAATGATAAAGTGAAATATCAATTGTTTAGTGTCACTTTTTCATAAGAGGCTCATTGGCAAGGAAAAGTTTGCCTTAGAAACCTTGATGATGATGTTGAAGCGCACACAAAGTGAGGCGAAGCGCTCAACACGTTTTGAGCCTCACTTCAGGGCTTAAGCGCGCTTCAAGCGTGCTTTTGATAATACTGGGGGAGAGAACACAACAATATCCCGAAATTGCCTTTTGTTACTACGTGATAGGAAAACAAGGAGAAATGACATTTATTTAGAGATGAGTATTCGATATTAGAAAAGACAACAAAATATTTGGAAGGTCTTTCCATCAATTCATATCAACATAAAGCAGTACAGTTGAGTTTAGTCGAGAGCATCTTTCGATCACAACAATGTATTTTTCAATCTATTATGGGGAGGAGGGAATGGTGACCTTCTGATTTGGTCGAGATAAAAAAGAATGTTCAATGCATAAAGTTCCTGAATTGTGCAATCCAATACAACATTTACAGATCACAAGAAAGGGCATAAACAAGTACATGCAAAGCAGCTTGAAAGATCAGTCTACAAAACACCTGAAGTGGCCTTTGTGTGCATCAAAGAGGGAGGTAATACTTTGCTTCCTTTGTTTTCATAGATGTTGGAATGTATGCGTCTACTGGTTTCGATGGGACCAGGTCCAAAACACAGTTACAATAACAAACAGTAAAATAAAAGCTGAAACTAATGATTGCACACACAACTTCACGTGGAAACCTCCTTGCTCAAGGGAGTAAAACCACGGCCTGTCTCAAAGGCTTTTCAAACTGCTTTTACTAAACTTCACAAGCAACAGTAAAACACAGTTTACAAAATGAGATTAACCTTCTAATCTCCACACTAAGCAATATCTCGTATTACTTAGACGAGCCTGAGCAGATACAACACTGTCCACTATACTAATCTTGATTGATTAATATAGACTTTAACGTAAGACAGTAAGTTACTCACAACCTAGTTCTTACAATGATTCACACAAGCTTGAAACGTTTCTATCACAAACGAAATGATTCCTACAATATAGGCACGATTACAAGGAATCAAACTAATAGCTGGTACAAGAAGCAATGAAGCACTCTATCAGGTCCCTACTGTATTGAAGCTTGAAAGTATCTCTCTTTGAATGAATGAGTAATTTTGTTGTTTGTTTTGGAATATATTAGTCATGAAGAAATATTATCCAATGTACAAACAACCTCGTCGCTTCTGATTGGTGTAGAACACTGCAACTTGACCAACATTCTGACGCAGACAACTTTTCCAGCTGTACAACATATGACACTAGACGAGCATACTCTACAGAGGACCAGGTCCATGCACTTGTGAGGAGATCATCAAAACATCTAGGAGCGTTAGCACTTATCATTTTCCCCCTTTTTGATGATGACAAATAACCTACACGAAGCCTCACGTGAGTGTAACAACATTCATTCAAGGATACAATGAATTCCCCCTTAGTTCAGTACCCCTAATTCCACAACCAGCTTCCTAATTCCACAACCAACTTTACAACAAAATTCCCCCTTTTGACATAATTGAAAAGGCGAAGCAGTAAACATATTCAAATTATATGCAAAGCATTGAAGAACTCAGGGTCATAGGCCACACAGAACATATGCATGTAAGCATAAAGAGAATATTAAACCATACTTAAACAGGGCACAAAACAAATAACATTAGATCACTAAAACCTACCACAGTAGTCAGTCAAAACAACACATAGCCACATGAGTTTTAATCCAGAGTTGAAATAGATGAAACTAGGGAAACAAGACTTGTTTAGGACAGAGGGGGAAGGGGATTTAGGGTGCTCATTAGCAGCAGCATCTGCTCATTTGCATTCTCATGAGCCTGGATGAGTAGCTTGTTAAGAGCCTTAACTTCCTCACTGAGTGAGGCATTTGTCTTCAACAACATTTCATTCTCATCCCTCAACTTTTGCACCACCTGATCATCCACCTTAGTGGTACCAGGTCCTTCTGAGACAGCCTTTTGCAACTTAGACTTCAGTTGCATAATCTCAACCTCCTTATCATTTAAGATTGTGGTAATATCAGATACCTCACGTTTAAAAGAGGCTTGCTGCTCTAGAACATCTTCCACATATGATCTACCTTTAGTCTTCCCTTCAACACACTCACATTCCAGCAGGGTGGCTGCAGTGAACATCTACTTGGTGGTACCAAGTTCCCCTCTTCCTAAAGGCACTTCAAAATGGTTCAATACAAAATTCAGCAAGTAACCATATGGAATCCCATGTTTTGCCTTTTTCCAAGTCATTACCCTGTGCATGTGTTCCAGAATAATGGCAGGGAGGTTGATCTCTTCATGTTCATCAAGCTTCTCCATGAGAAAAAGATCAACAACAGATTCCACTGTTCTCTTTTTAGTTCTGGGCACCAACACCTTGTTGATGAACTCAAAAAGCAACTGGTATTCCCCTTTGAGAAGCTTTTCGGTAACCCTGCACCGTTGACATCTCCATATTTTGTGGCAGGTTTTGTGAAGTGACCAGATGGTTTACAACCTTCAATCATTTGAATTCCTTCCACAGGCACCCCTAAAATGATCCCCAAGATTTCTTCATTCAGACATATTTCAACATTCCTGACAGTAGTCGTGATTCCACCACCTTCCAGAAGTTTCATTTTGTAGAAAAATTCACTCACCTCAGGTTCGTGCAAGTACGGAACTAGAGGTTCAAAGAGATGGTTCCAACCTTGAATGGAGACAGCATAAAAAAGATTTGATATGCCAAATTTGGTTAGAATGTCAGGGTCAAGTACTCTGCCATTCAGAACCTTTTGGTTCTCCGTTCTCGTTATCCGCTCCTCCCTTGTCATTTCCTTTTCTTCTCTTTGTTTTTGAACCCTGGGACCTGGTCCCTTTACGGGTTTTGATTTTTCAGCCACCTGTTTTCTAACTTTCTCCCTTTTCATAGGAGATTTCTTTGCAATCTTCTGACTTCCTTTTGATTTAACCCTTTCATGCTCAGCTTCCTTTCTTCGTTTCGCCACATGCGCAGTGATATAATCAGATTCAGTCTCACTGGTTCCAATAAACACAAGAGTTGATATGAGTTCTTCAGGCAGTTGCCCTTCTTGTCTCTTTTTTCTTATTCTGTCCATTTGGATTAAATTCGCTGTAATTGAACTTCCCATAACTTTCTGGGTTACACTTCTTGTCTCATACTTCTTCTTTTCCCCTTTTGAGTGAGTCTCAACCAGCTTTCCTTTTCCTTTTCTTTTTCTCTCTTTTGCATATTTAGCGTGCTCAATAGTAAGAGTGGCCTCAGGAGTGCCTTTGACTGTTTCCAAATTGGGAATATCCATTGTGAAAGTGTTCGCTCCTCGCACCCTGTTTTTGCTCCATTTTAATGGAACCTCTTGTTTCTCTTCTTTGTCACTCTCAACGTCAAAAGATCTAGGTATTTGGTCAAACAAGGGTTGATTTATGTGAGGGTCCTGATCCGGTGACCTCAATTCATGCTCCAGTATAGTAGATTGAACATCTCCTCTCAGTGAGGCCAAGCTTTGAACAACCACCAGCTCTGCCCCTACGGCTAGAATACACGATTTGGGACCCTTTCCCTCAGGCAAATCCCCTTCAAAAAGTCTCTCAGACATAGTAGATGAAACATCCATGGAACTCACTTCTATTTCTTCAAAGAGTGGTTTAACACTAGGTTTTATCACAAATTGCACCTCCTAGTTCTGGGATTTTTCACCGGATAAAACAAAGGTAGGGGAACAAGCCAAGATATCCTCAAAAGGAAGAATAAGAGAGACTATGACTTCAGTTAGAGAAGTGATGGATTCATCCATTTCACTAACTCCACAGAATGGAGTCGAGGGAGACTCGTCTGGAAGGGGAATGGAGAAGTTGAATGACCTAGGGTTTTCAACTTCTTAAGAGATGGGGAGCTTTGAAGAAGAATCAGAGTTAGTCATTTTGGAAGAAGAAAGAAAAATACTTTGAATAACAGATTATTGAATCACAATAGGAAATATTCCAAGAGATTATAGCTATAGATTCACTACGAGAAGTTATATATAAAGCCAAGAGGGTATCAGGTCCCCAACAGTAGAGACCTTTGGTTTAAAAGTGAAAAGATGTCTGAAACTGACGCGATGAATGTGAGAGAGATACGTGGCAGTGATGTGGACCGATATACAGTGTAGCGCAAGTGATACTAACCTCATGGGGACCAGGTCCCATTTAGTATGAGCCCTGCCTGTATGATTAGATCTTCCCTTCAGCTGACATACCATGAGTGTATACCGGCATTATGGTATCAGAAGTGAATTCCCAAATGACGTGTATTATAGTAAGTATAGATACCTGCCCTCATTAACATAATCAAATGGAAGATTTTGTGCAACTTGTCAAGGAATCAGGTGATCTTGTACATCCCCAACCTCAACTTGTTTTTGATGAAACATTCTTTACTCAAGGGTTTTGTAAAGATAGCAGCCAACTGATCTTCAGTCTTGGAGAAATTCATCACCACATTTTGCTTCTCGACATTGTCTCTTAGAAAATGATGCCTCACATCTATGTGATTTGTCCTCTTATGCTAAATAGGATTCTTGGCAATATTCATTGCATTGGTGTTGTTGCATATTAGAGGGATTGTGTCTGTGAGAATACTGAATCCTCCAGTTGCTGCTTGATCCACAGAAGCTGAGCACAACATGATGTAGCAACCACATATTATGTCTCTACTGTAGACAATGCAACTGAATTCTACTTCTTTGTCCCCCAAGAGATCAGTGATGATCCAAGAAAGTGTGCCATGCCTGATGTACTCTTTCGATCAACAAGGAAGCCTGCATAGTCAGCATCAACATAACTAATTAGATCAAGTGTATCACATGTTGGATAGAAGAGGACCAGGTTCTGAGTTCCCTTCAGGTATCTCAGAATTCGTTTGGCTACCTTCAAATGTGACTCCTTTGGTGCAACTTGAAACCTTGCACACATCTCTACACTGAAGACTATGTCTGGCCTGCTTGCAATGAGATACAGAAGTGACCCAATGATTCCCCTGTACATGGTCTAATTAACCTCAACACCATCTTCATCCAAGTCAAGTCTCACACTTGTGCTCATAGGAGTATCAATAACTTTTGCCTCAAGCAAATTAAATTTTTTGAGTAGTTCTTTTATGTATTTTTCTTGACATATGGAGGTACCCTGAGGGGACTGTTTGATTCGCAAGCCTAGGAAGAAAGTAAGCTCCCCCATCATGCTTATTTCAAATTCACTACTCATCAAATCATCAAACTCTTTAGACAGTGAATCTGAGGTAGCTCCAAAGATAATGTCATTTACGTATACCTGCACAATCAACAACTCCTTACCTCTGGATTTTAAGAACAAGATATTATCAATTTTACTTCTTTTGAACCCATTTGCAAGGAGGAACTTTAACAGGAGTTCATACCAAACTCTGGGAGCTTTCTTTAGACCATACAAAGCTTTATCCAATTTCACCACATGATTTGGTAGTTCTACATCTTCAAAACCTGGGGGCTATTTGACATACACTTCTTCTTTCAGATTCCCATTCAAGAAGGCACTCTTGACATCCATTTGGAATAGCTTAAATTCCATGTGGGCAGCAAATGCTATCAGGATTCTGATGGCTTCCATTCTAGCTACAGGAGCAAAGGTCTCTTCATAGTCAATCCACTCCTTTTGGTTGTACCCCTGCACTATGAGCCTTGACTTATTTCTAGTAATGGTCTCATGCTCATCAAGTTTATTTCTCAAGACCCATCTTGTCCCAATAACAGTTCTGTTGAGAGGTCTGGGGACCAGGTGCCAAACTTTGCTCCTCTCAAGCTGATGTAGTTCTTCTTGCATTGATGTTACCCAATCTGCATCATGTAAGGCTTCTTTGATGTTCTTTGGCTCAATGGATGACATAAAGGCTGAGTATGCAACTATATTTCTTGTTCTGGATCTAGTTTGAATTCCAGAGTCAAGTGGAGAAATGAGATTGTCCAGTGGATATGAGGATTGATGTTTCCATCCGGACTTTCTGATCGACTCTTCTTCCACATCAGCATCAGATTCAACATCGTCATCTTCAGGATTTTGAGATGGAACCTCATGGGTAGTGTCAGAGGGACCAGCTGCTCCAGTGAGTTCTGCACCAGTTTCTTTTGCAACCTGTTTGTTTCCAAGGTTTTGGATAGCCTTGTCCTCCCATTCCTTGATCAACTCCTCCATCTCATGGTCTCCCTTGTGATCATCAATTTTCTCAGACTCATCGAATGTCACATATATGCTCTCTTAAACACATAGAGTTCTTTTGTTAAACACTCTGTAGGCCTTGTTGGTAGAGGAGTATCCTACAAACACCCATTCATCACTCCTGTCATCAAACTTTCCCAGGTCATCCTTTCCATTATTTAGTACAAAACATTTGCACCCAAATGGCTTAAGGTGAGCAATTGAAGGCTTTCTGTCATTCAACAATTCATAAGGTGTTTTCTTGACCACAGACCTGATAAGACACCTATTAGTGACATAGCATGCTGTGTTGACTGCCTCTGCCCAGAAATTCATTGCAAGCCCTGAATCAATTAGCATAGTTCTAGCAATATCCACTAATGTTTTATTATTTCTTTCAACAACTCCATTTTGCTGAGGAGTTTTGGTGCTGAGAAGTTGTGATTGATTCCATTTTCAGCACAAAACCCTTCAATTTGAGAGTTTTCAAACTCTGTTCCATGATCAGACCTGATACTAGCAATCTTGTAGTTAACCTTTAGTTGAATGGCTTTGGCAAATGTGATCAGAATTCTAGCAGTCTCATCCTTTTTCCGCAAAAGCATGTTCCAGGTGTACCTGGAGAAATCATCCACAACTACAAGAATGTATTTCTTACCTCCTCTGCTTTAAATTATGATAGGTCCACACAGATTCATGTGGAGAAGCTCCAAAGGTCTGGTCGTGCTCACACCCTTCTTGGCCTTGAAGGATGATCGTGTTTGTTTCCCTTTTGTATAGGCATCACATACTTTATCATTTGAAAATTTCAACTTCGGTAATCCACGGACCAGGTCCCCTGCAGCAAGTTTGTTCAACAAAGAAGTACTTACATGACCCAATCGCCGGTGCCATAGATTTGCATTATCAGTTTGAACACTTAGCATGAAAGACTGTTCCTTTCAATAGAGTTAAGATCCGCAACATACATATTTTTTACTCTTGGGGCAGACATAACAACTCTTTTGGTTGCACAGTTTGTAACCATACATTTATCATAAATGAACTTGACTTCATTTCCCTTGTCGCAGATTTGAGATACACTTAAGAGATTGTATTTCAAACCATCCACATAGTGTACATTGTCTATAGAATGATCAACAGATCTCCCTATCATGCCAATACCAAGAATAGAACCCTTCTTTCCACCACCAAATGACACACCACCACCTTGGTGTGCTTCCAATGAGAGAAAGTTTAGAGTGTCTCTAGTCATATGCCTTGAGAATTCACTATCCATGTACCAACACTGACTGCTTCCTCTCTTTTGCACAAGAATCACTTATTAGACTTAGGAACCCACTTCAAATGGAGTTCCCAAAAACTATCAAGAGGCTTAATTAGAAACCTTCATGTCCATGGGGGCAAAGTGTTCATGCTAAAATGGTAACGGGGACCAGGTACCCTTTTCGTTTTCTCATGATTTTTCTTCGATTTAAGAAAATTCTCCTGCCTTTCTTTCACTCCTCTCAATATCTCACACTTTTCTTTCAGATGACCATTTTTACCACAATGGGTACACAATAGGTTGTCAGAGACAGACACATACTTACTATGAGGATTGTAAGGAGGCTCTATCTATCTACATCCTAACCCTTTTTTGCTATTGAACTTTTGATTTGCTAGGTTAGAGAGTATCTTAGATGAATCAGTCCATTTGAGAGAGTAGTTAAACTCTTCTTTGATCTTACCCAGATCCTTCACTAGTTGAGAGTTCATTTCCAAGGAGGTAGCTAACTTAGACTCAGAGGTCTTAAGTTTCTCTTCTAGTTCAACCTCAAAGTTACTGAGTTTACGCTTCCCACCCTTAGAGGTACCAGGTTCCTCATTGGGTTCAAGACTACAGGTCTCAAGGATACCTATTCTAACACTCATTTAAGATATTTGAGAGTTGAGAGCTGAGTTTTCATCCTCAGACAACCTCAACATTTCACTCATTGTCAAATTTTCAGATAATGTTCATCAACTGAGTCAATTAATAGAGCATCAAGTTTTCTCAATCTATTAATGGAAAGAGTATATAGATCATCCTTGAGATAAAAAAGGGTTACCTCATTCAAATACTCCTCATCGTCCGATTTTGCCATTAGTGAGAAAATGGAGTTGTAGACAGTTTCATCATCTTCTACAACCATCATTGAGACATCTTCTGGGATGTCTATCTCTTCTTTAGACTCACTAGATGCATTTCCCCATACTGCAAGATCTTTCTTCACTAGTTGATCAGCATGAGCTTTCCTCTTGGCATGATCTAGGACCTGGTCCCTTCTACGAGGTCTAAAGTCCTGACTTTCCTGCTTCTGGCTGGGACAGTCCCTCATAAAATGACCAGGTTTGCCATATTTATGACAAAGATTATTTGCATTTGCTGGTCGGAGCTTTCTTTTGAAAGCCTCCATGCTTCTTGATGATCTTCTGAAACCTTCTAGTAACATAAGCCATTTCATCATCCTCCTTAGTCACATCATTTTGAGAAATTTTCAGTGCAACTGATTTCTGGTTCAGGTGGCAGACGACGCCAAAACGGGTTCTATGCTCTTCAGGCTCGCCAGGATCAGGAAGAATTTCCTGATGTAGTCACTGGTACGTTACAAATTTTTAACTTAGATACTTATGCTTTGTTAGATCCAGGGGATACTCTTTCCTTCGTAACTCCCTATATAGTAGTCAACTTTGGTGTCAGTCCAGTAACTCTCTCAGAACCCTTCTCAGTCTCTACTCCAGTTGGTGACCTAGTTATATCTAGATGGGTATGCAGAAACTGCCCTGTCACAGTCTCACAGAAAGTTACCTTAGCAGATCTTGTAGACTTAGAAATGCTAGACTTCGATGTCATTCTAGGCATTGATTGGTTACATTCATGTTATGCCTCAGTCGATTGTAGAACTAGGATCGTTCATTTTCAGTTTCCAAACGAACTAATCTTAGAATGAAGGGTAGTAGCTAAGCGCCTATGGGTCGATTCATTTCTTACATTAAGGCTAGAAAGATGATCTCTAACGGTTATCTCTATCATTTAGTTCGGGTTAAGGATTCAAGCTCCAAAACCCCAACTCTTGAGTCAGTTCCCGTAGTTAATGAGTTTTCAGAAGTGTTTCCAGAAAATCTTCCCGGAGTTTCTCCCGGAAAGGAGATTGACTTTGGAAGTGTCTCCTTCTAGATGCCCAACCTATTTTTATTTTGGCTCCAGCTGAGTTTAAGGAATTGAAAGAGGAGTTTAAAGACCTTCTAGATAAGGGCTTCATCAGACCCAATATTTCCCCATGGGGTGCACTAGTGTTGTTCGTGAAAAAGAAAGATGGTTCTCTCAAGATGTGCATTGACTATAGGCAGTTGAACAAAGTCAAAATCAAGAATAAGTACCCTATCCCCAAGATTGCTGAATTGTTCGACCAACTTCAGGCTGCTAGTCATTTCTTAAAGATAAACCTCAGATCCGGTTATCATCAGCTCAGAGTCAGAGATAGTAACATCCCAAAAAACAGCCTTCAAAAACTCAATATGGTCATTATGAATTTATAGTTATGTCATTTGGACTAACCAATGTTCCTGCAACTTTCATGGATTTGATGAACAGAGTGTTCAAGCAGTATTTGGACTTGTTCGTTATCGTCTTTATTGATGATATCCTCATTTACTCTAGGAATGAGGAAGAACATGTGAATAATTTGAGGGTTGTCCTGCAAACTCTCAAAGATCGCCAGTCATTTGCTAAGTTTAGCAAATGTGAGTTTTGGTTACAATTTGTTGTTTTCCTTGGGCATATTGTGTCTAGC